GATCCCACCGTTCCAGCCTGCCCCGCAGGCCCCACAGGTCCCACAGGTCCTGTGGCTCCCGGGCCCAGGGGCCGTCCAAAAGTGACTCAGTATGCAATGTTGGTCTACTGCAGGTTCATGCGGCGTTGGCACGCCGGCGACGTTGGCGAAGGCCTTCAAGGCTGCATTCTGCGACGCGGAAGCACCGAGGGACACGGTGGGGCCATTGCACCCGACGAAATTCAACCTTGAACGATCGGGGCCGCGATCGATTCACGGTTGAGCGATCGACGCGGTGCCAAAGGTCTTGCGAGTGCCGACGCCGAGCGAACCTACCGTAGGTTGATTCGTCCGGACCTGTGGGGGTCGACGTTCCGGAATAGTCATGATTGGGGGTCTGGGCCGCCGCCTTTTTCTGCCTTGCCATCCTGTCTTCAGTCCTCCTTTTCTTTCCCCTCCTCCTCCTCCTCCTGCTCCTGCTCCTCCTGCTTCTGCCCTTCCTCCGTCTCCTCCCTCCCTCCTCCTCTCCCTCCTGTTCCTCCTCCTCCACCTCCTCCTCCTCCTCCTCCCCCTCCTGAGATGCAATCCGTTTCACACCAGGCGTTTATAGCCATGGCAGTTCAGATTGAGGAAGCCCTACGCGAGCCCAGCAATTTCTTTTTTTGTTTTTTGAGGGCGGGCATGACGTTTGAACATGTCTCAAGCGAGCCTCATTCTGACAAGCAGCCGCCATCCATGTTTGCAGCCGTAAAATCATGTGACATGAATGTGCGCGTCGCCGAGACGACAGCCACCCTTTGAACGCGGCCTGCCTTCCGCCCGTGCATGCTGGGACCTCTCGGGCCCAGGTGCGTGCGGCGCTTCGGCGAGATCCCCGTTCTGGAAACCACCTGCCCGGCATCCGTGAAACTGTCAGAGTGAGTACGCCAGATTTCGTAATAAAAGGGAGGGGGTCTGGACCCTCCAAGACAAGCCATTTCAGACCCCCCCCCCGTGGGAGAACCCTCCCAAAACACCGTCCCCAGACCCCCCCCAGGCCCTCCAAGACAGCCTGGAAGAGACCCCCCCCGAAATGAGACCCCCCTCCCTTTTCTCACGAAATCTGGAGCACTGTAACACGATCGGCCGCGGCGCGGCAGCGAGGGCCCTCGGCGAGGGGCCCTCGGCGAGGGGCCCTCGGCGAGGGGCCCTCGGCGAGGGGCCCTCGGCGAGGGGCCCTCGGCGAGGGCCCTCCCGAGCACGGCGCGGGGCCCTCGGCGAGGCCTTCGGCCGCCCTCGGCGGCCCTCGGCCCTTGGCCCTCGGCCCTCGGCCCTCGGCCCACGGCGGCAAACCGAGCGGCGAGGCCTCGCCCCTGCCCCGTGCCGCTGGCCTGTCGGGCAGTCCTCGCGCTCTGCTGCGTCGCCGTCGGCGGCGACCTGCCCTCCGTCCGTGCACTCCGTTCGGGGAAGAGGCAATGGAACAAACAGAACAACTCGGAGGTCCGCGCAGATTTCTCGGATCCGGGCTGGACCCCCCTGGCGGCGCCTCCGGCGCCGCCTCTGGCGCGCTCCGCGCGCCAGGGAGGGGGGTCCAGCGCCGATGCGAGAAGTCCGCGCGGACCTCCGAGTTTTCATGTTTATTTCACTTTTTGTTCCCCTATGCGTGGACATCTTGGTGACGCAAGTGCGCGGCGCGAAAGCGAGAGTGGCATCTTGACAACGGGCCGCCCTCCATCCGTGCAGTTGGGGGATTTCAGGGTAGGTGGCCGCATCGTGAAGAACCCTCAGGCGAAGCGCCAGGCCCGCCCTACAGACGTGCCGTGTGGTGCGACGAGGGGGAGTCATAGACAAGGGAGAGGATTTGAGATGGAGGAGCGGGGTAGGTTCTGTGAGAAGTAAGAGGACGAGGAGGAGGGGACGGGGGAGTGTGTGGGGATGATGATGATGTTGATGATGATGGTCGTGTGGTGGTGATGGTGATGGTGATGGTGATGGTGATGGTGATGGTGATGGTGATGGTGATGGTGATGGTGATGATGATGATGATGATGATGATGATGATGATGATGATGATGATGATGATGATGCTTGTGCTGATGATGATGCTTGTGCTGATGATGACAATGCTGGTGCCGTTGATGATGGTGGAGGTCTTTACGACAGTGAAAGCGATGACGACCACGACGACGACGGCAAAGGCGATGCCGAGAACTCTGTCAAGGGTGATTAGGATTAATATAATGTTGCTGCTGTTGATGATGATGACGAAGACAATGCTGATGATTCTGGTGATGACGACGATAATGATGATGAAGATGATACGGATGATGTTGCTGATGATGATGGTGATGGTGATGCTGGTGATGATGGTGATGATGGCGTTGATGTTGATGTTGTTCATGATGTTGCTGATGGTGATGATGACGATGGTGATGACGCTGACGATGACGATCATGATGCTGAGGATGCTGATCATTATGATGATGATGTGAATGGCGGTGATATTGATCGTCATGGTGGTGATGGTGATACTGATACTGGTCAGGATGATTCGCATGATGGCGATTTCGTGGGTGCTGATCCAGGCGATGCGGACTACATCTCCAGGATGAACCAGTTTCCCCTTTGGCCTGGGACTGACATCGTCAATCGTGACAACGGAACGCATCATTGTGAGGAACTTCAAGCGGACCTGATTCTAGGATGCGCGGGTCCAAACCCGGCTCTGATTTATGCTGGGGTTGATCCTGGGGTTGATCGTTTTTTCGTCTCTGTGGATATAGCCCAGGAGCCAGATAATGCAGTATCCCCCCTTTTCCCCCTGAGAGCGGACAGTCCAAGGCCAAGACAGAGCTAGTCCGGAAAGAGTGGCGGCCAGGCCGAATTTTATTTTATTGCCTCACGAGCGTGTTGCAGGGGTATGGGATTCTCGCCATTTCAGCTTTCCTACCTCGCGGACGTGTGGCAGGGCTGTGGGATTCTCACAGTTTCAATTTTCCCCAGTGACGACCGCGTCGCGGGGCTTTTGAGGTGCTCACCATTTCAGCAATACCACATGAGCATACCATCGTACAGACAAGTTGCCGGGACGAGAACCATCTATTGTCTCCCCGAGCCCCGAAGGTTATCATCCACACCCTGTGATTCTCAGGGGTGTATGGTTCGATCGCTGTTCCCCGGTACCATCATCGTGCCGCTCTTTTCGCGCGGAGACAGCTCCTGCCCGATGTTCTTGCTGGGGCATCTCCACGGGTCTGGGGGGGGCCGGACAGGAAACCTCACGTCCACGGCCACAGAGCCCCAGCCCGCGCTGAGATTCCACGCGGGGTTGGGGCGCGGGGATGGCTGTCCCGTTGCCACGGTGGGCCCTTGGCTGTCTCGCCTACTCCCATCCTCGGGCTGGACGAGAGGGGGGGATTGGGAAAGGGGGGTTACGAAATCTGCTGCATGCAGATGGTTTCGGCCCCACCGAGGGGCCCATTCCTGGATACATGGCCGCCTCCCGGCGCCGGGAGGCGCCGGGAAAATCAGCTACGTGAGCTGATTCTCACCCCCCCCTTTACTATCCCCCCCTTTCGCCCGACCCGACATCCGCCCTCCAACGAATCCACTGCACTTATCACGAACTTCTTCCTCGTCTGTTCTGCAGCGCAGATGCCGGCAGACAATCCGACCTCAGTGGCTCGACTGCGCCCCGACGCTCCTGCGCCTGCCGCACCGCTCATCGTGGTTCGCACTTCAAGGGGAACAGGATTCGTCTTGGGTAGGTATGAATGATGACGATGATGAGAAGGGGGAGTGAGTTTGAAAGGGGGACGGAGAATATGAGAAGGGGCAGTCACAGCATGGGGGTAGAAACACCTAGATGCATGTATGTATATATATATATATATATAGATATATCGAGAGCTAGGCAGATGGATCGAGATTTTTGCACTGAGTTGCACACGCATGCGTATTCAGTATGAACAACGAGCGAGTGGTGCGCACACGCTCATCTTTCTACACACGTGTGTATATACACGTGTGTATACACATAGGTTGTGCACATATGTGTGTATACATCGACATATGCGATCATAGTTATATACACCATGTATTGTTGCTGTCCCAGCGAGCTCCGCCCACAGGGCGCCACAATCATGATGTTCGCGGGTGCCACAACCCTGGGTGGAGCTGCCGCCGCGTATTGCCTTGGAAAGAAGAACATGGTCTTCCTCGGGAAGGACGGCTGGAGAGAACTTGGGGATATGGAAGGCGGAGGAGGATGAGCTGGCGGAGGAGGAGGAGAGGGCAGCGGGGGGACACGATAAAGCGAGACATGGGATCATGTGATGATGAGGTGGAGGCGGGAACAAGAGGGGGAGGGGGAGGATGGGAGGGCGGAGGGGGAGGGCAGAGGAGGGCGGAGGAGGAGGAGGAGGAGGGCGGAGGAGGATGGCGGAAGGGAGGAGGAGCAGGAGGAGGAGGCAGGAGGAGGAGGAGGAGGATGAGGAGGAGAGGGAGGAGGAGGAGGAGGAGGAGGAGGAGGAGGAGGAGGAGGAGAGGAGCAGGAGGAGGAGGACGAGGAGGAGGAGGAGGAGGAGGAGGAGGAGGAGGAGGAGGAGGAGGAGGAGGAGGAGGAGGAGGAGCTGTAGGTGGAGGAGGGCTCCCGGCGTGGTGCCTCCGCGTGTGGCTGGCGCGCCAGGGGCCCCGAGGGAACCAGAGGCCGAGACGCGCCGGGGTCCGTGCGGGGCGGCGCGGCGGCTCGAGGCGGGGGGGGGGCCCCGTGGACCGAGCGCGGGAGCCCTCCTCCGCATGGAGGTCCTGGTGCTCCTACAGTCGGGGGCGGCGAAGAGGGGGCCCGGCCCCAGAGGCTTCTTCCAAGACGGCTCCAGGGAGGATCCCAGACGGGGCCCCGAGCGATCCTTCGAGACCCGGCCCAGGGAGGTCCTCCCCCCCAGAAGCCCCGAGATCCTCGGGGGCGGCAAAGAGGGGGGTGATGACTAGGGGGGGGGGTGGATCTCATGGCGGGGGCCACGATGTTTCCCCAGATTTCGTGGCGCCTCCTCTTATTTCATTGCGTCCCTGGCCCCCCCGCCGGGCCGCGCACATGCCGCCAGTCATGATTTGCCCCCCCCCCCCCCCCCCCCCCCCCCCTCACTCTTGGACACCCCCCTCTTGGCCGGTCCCGATACAGTCAACCCGCATGGAGGTCCTGGTACACGCTGGTCGTTGAAAGTAGGTATTTCCGGATGCCCAAATCCTGATCTACTTCAGGCGCCTGCCTACTTCAAGAGTCGAGCGGTTTTCCTTCCTCCGCTTCAGGGGGTGGGCGGAAGTCCAGTCTACTTCCAACGCCTTCCTACTTCATGTTTCTACCCACTTCTTCCGACCGGCGTGTAATCCTACAGTCAACCCGCATAGCAAGGATGGGCAAGCTTGCCAAGGGTACCCTTGCATCCATGCCTCCTCGGTCCATGCTTGGCCGCTTTTGCTGGCCGCGCCCCGCCCGCGAGGTGTCGGCATGGCCGTCCAGGGCCCTTGCATCCTTATCGCGCATCCTTACTGCACGGGTTGACTGTATGGTTAAGTCGGGCCCGTCCCTCTGCAGGAGGAATATTGAAGAACAGTGAAACATAGTCTGGGGACGAGGTTTCAGCTTTCTTTAGTGTATTGCATTTTTGGGCTGTTGCTTATTTTTCGTCCAACACCCCCATGTAGGGGGACAGGCCTGACGTGATGGTATTCCTATGGCCCTCAGAATCGAAGAAGAATCAACGGCATAAATCAGGAGGGAAAGAAACACACAGACACAATTAATCGTCGATTCCCCAGAAAATATGGGAACATATGGGAAGTGGGGGGGAAGACAGAAACCAAGAAAATATGGGAAACTATGGGGAATCTTTTTATTTGTGTGTATTTATTTGTGTGTCCTGGGGCCCCTTCAATAAACAGAAACTTTGGGCGCTCCGCGCGGATTCCTTGGAGCCGCGCTGGGGCCCCCTGGCGGCGCCTCCGGCGCCGCCCCCTGGCGCGCTCCGCGCGCCAGGAGGAGGGGTCCAGCGCAGATCCAAGAAATCCGCGCGGAGCGCCAAACGTGTATGTTTATGCTTTTTTTTTGTTGTAGAAGGGCGACGATCGACGCACTGCCGGGGCACTGCTCTGACCAATTCGCGTCGTTCGAAGCTGTTGCCGGGCACTGCTTGGGGCGATGCGGAATTCTGGCCAGGAGGCGGCAGGGCAGCAGCTCGGCATCGTCTACCCAATCCCCATCCCGATCCCCATCCCCATCCCCATCCCCTTCGAGACCCCCACCGACTTACGTACCGCCCCAGTTGGGGATACTTGCACCCCTCGGAACCCGAAGGGAACGACCCACATCCCCATCTAGGGGCACTCGCGGGGGTCACATCGGCCAGTGGGGCCCAGGCCACGCTGCTGGGGATGGGGATCGGTGCACCGATGTAAAACAGGGCTAGGATCGGGATAAATCGCTCCAGAGCGTTCCGGAGCGCTCTCAGAGCGTTCCGGAACGCTCTGGAGCGGCCGCGGCGCCCAATACCTCCTTCAAGCCCGCCGATTCTCAGAGGTTTCGAGTTATCCCGATCCGATTCTGTCCCGATCTTCGCGCCGTTTTACCATGCTCCACCGGCGGGAGGAGCGCCTTCGGCGTGCCCCGCACGCCCAGAGAAAAGTCTCCCTTCCGGGGCGTCGGCGCCCCCGCGGGGTTGCCGAGGGCGGGGGCCCCCCTCCGCCGCGCGGGGAGGTCCCCAGTGGGGAGAGGGTCTGCCGCCCGCCCGGCGCTTCGGCTGGTGGGCGCACCCCGTCCCCCGGGGCGGCCGCGAATGGCTCCAACTTTCCCTGGAGATCTCTGGATGGGCCTCGATTTCTCTGCACGTGCCCGGATTTATACCTGGATTGGCCTCGATTTATCTGCACGCGCCCGGATTTAGCTGGCGCGATCCCCACCAGTCGATTGGCGAAACGTCGACAAGCCCTTCGGGATCTGCGCGTGACACCCCGTCCCTGGGGCGGTCGCGCGCAGATCCCGAATGGCTTGTCGACTTTTCGCCCATGGACTGGTGGGGATCGAGCCAGAGAAGTCCAGGTGCGTGCAGATAGGTCGAGGCCAGTCCAGGTAAATCCAGGTACGTGCAGATGAGTCGAGGCCAATCCAGAGATCTCCAGGGAAAGTTGGAGCAATTCGCAGCCGCGCCAGCGCGAGTCGAAGGACGGCAGAAATTGTTAAGCCTTTAACGAGCAGAGGGGGTAGGGGGAGGGGGGACGGCTTCTCAGAAGCACCCCTGCTTCTAAGAAGCCTTCCCCCCTCCCCGTACCCCCCTCTGCGTGCCGCCAGCGTGGGGCGGTCTGGATCGGTTCCCCAGCCTCCAGGCCTTCAGACGGTGTCGGGGCAGGTGGGGTCGGAGGATGGCGCCGCATCTCCGATGCTTCGGCGATGAGGCTAGATGGGGAGCCCGATCTTCTCCACACGGACGTCGCCGCTGCACCGTCGACGTCGCCGCATCGCCGATGCATCGACGATGCATCGCCGATGCATTGGCGCTGCGGCGAGATTTGGGTTGACCCGAAAGGAGGTCCAGCGACAAGGGTGTGGTGCAATAGATTTGGTGCAATAGATTTGTGGGGTTGCACTACATTTGGGGCGTGCACTACATGTCGTGGCGCAAATGTATTGCTGTACTTTCCCGTGCGATGCACTACTCGCCATACAACGCAAGGCCATTCTCCGGCGCAGTGCACTTGCAGCACAGTTGCCCCCCAAAACTCTATTTGCACCGCCCCCTTTCCGCCGGACCCCCTCTTGGGCGGCGCCCAGAGAGATCCCGACCCCCTCCGGGGGGCCCCTGCTGTGCGCCTTGGCCCGCGCGGCACCTGCCCCTCCCGAGGGCGGGGCCGCGGCCCGCTGCCGTGGCCCCGCCCGCCCATCGCCCGTCGCGCCCTCCCCGCGGGCGAGGGCGCGGCCGGCGCCCGGCCCGCGGGAGCCGCGCGCCGCGCGGCCCGACGCGCCCCTCCGGCAACGGGGCGGCCGACGGGAGCAGGCTGGGTCGCCCCGCGCCTGCTCGCTCCGCGCACTCCGCCCGGTGCCGCGGGGTTGCCTGCATCCTGGGGGTCGCTTCGTGAGGGGGGGGGGGGGGCGACAGTTGGGGTTAAGTCGGGCCTGCCCCTCTAAAGGAGGAATGCTCCAGAAGAGTCAAAAAATACTCTGGGGACGATTCCTTTCACCATGTTTGCCAATTTTTTTGTTTATTTTTTTGCCCAGAGTTCCCCTGTAGGGGGACGACACGCCCGACTTAACAGTGGGGGCGGGCAGCAGGGGCTGCAGGGAGTGGGCCCCCGAGGGGCCCCTGCAAGGGCCCTCGGGGGCCCAGAAGAGGATCGCGAGGGCCCGAAGAGTGTTGTACCTTCCTCCCCCCTCCCCGCATGTATCGCCCCCTCCCCCTCCCCCCTCCCCCCTCTTTCACGCCCCGGCGTCCCTGGCGCTCTGCGAGCTGGGGCTCCTGGCTCGCAGCGCACGTACCTCCAAGCCACGTGCCTCCTAGCCTATGAGGCACGTGCATGTATGCCGCCTGCCTTCGGCGGGGCGGTGCTGCTCACCATGCCGCTGAGGCCGGCGCGGCCGCCCTCGTCCCCCCTCTCTCGTCTTCTTCCTCCTCCTCCTCCTGCTCCTCCTCCTCATCCTCCTCTCTTCTTTCTCCTCCTCCTCCTCCTCTCCTCCTCCTCCCTCCTCCTCCTCCTCCTCCTCCTCCTCCTCCTCCTCCTCTCGGGCCCTGTCAGCGCGGCGGCCCCGAGCCCAAGGGGGGGCGTGGGAGGGGTGACCCCCGAGTGCGGGCGTGATGAGACTTGATGCGCGCCTCAGTCTGTGTTGTGGAGGGTGGGGACGAGGAGGAGGAGGAGGAGGAGGAGGAGGAGGAGGAGGAGGAGGAGGAGGAGGAGGAGGAGGGTGAAGATTTGGCAGGGGGGTGGCAGAGAACCAGCGTGATCCCCGGATGCCCCAACGATGCTGCAGGGCATCCTCCCGTCCAGAGCCCAGTCCTCATGAGTCCCTAGAAGTGCTCTTCTCCCCTGCGGGAAGCACCCCCGCTGAATGACGAGCGCCCGGGGGGCATGTCATTGAAGCGACCGGCAGTGCCTGTAGCTAGGCGAAGCCCAAACGGAGCAGTGAGCCAGCTTCCATCCGTGCAACAGCGACTGTGACTGGGCATTTTTCGCGGTTTTCTCA